TAATTGCTCCTTTTCTTTGCGCATGCATTATTTATAAATATACTTATCTACTCACCTTAACCTAGCCTGTCCTTCTTGCCGGGCCCGCCAAGACTTTCGCGCCCAAACAACAACGTTGCCTTGGAATTAAAAACAGGTGATTTGTATAATTGCAAAGATTTGCCGATATAAAAACCACGAGATGAGGTATTTAATATGCATGTTATCGTTTTACATCCAATAATTCTACTCAATCCACGCAATTAACATAAAAAAAGAGAAAAAAAAGACATGTGAAAAAAGAGCTTGCTATGCAACTGACAGTTGTTAAGTCGTCTCGTTGCCTAGGAATCCATGAACGACGGAAAGCGCAAACGCAAATCTCGCGAATTCTCGCATTACGCAATGCAATTGCATAACGATTGAGATGAAGAGATCGCGACGGCAGATGAAAAAAAAATAGAGAAAAAGAGCGAATATATGCAGCGAACCGATAGCATGCAGCATAATCTATTTCCAGAAAAAAGAAGGCGGAGTGGGAGAGATTACAAACGCGAGCGAGAATGGCGACGCGGCTTTATCGCGATCCCACTATCGTGCGGTTACGTCTTCGACAACAATGTTTTCCTCGTTTAGACAGGGTGTAAACATCGAGTACTTTCTCTTGACTGCGAACGCCGGAACCTGAAATGAGAGAGAAACGCCGTTCTTTTCCGCGATTCTCGAGACATTGACGCGATCTCGAAAAATGAACGATCGAAAACAATTGAAAACCTCAGCCTCTTTAGTACTGGTACTCTCTGTACTTGTAACCATTTTTTTCTTTTAAAATCTGTAACTAATAACATAAAGTATAAAATATAACATACTTGAAACTATAATTATACAAAAATATATATTACACAATATGCAATGAAGATCAAGCAACGCGGTAGCGTCGCGACTCCAAGTATATATAAAAATTCGTTCCAGCTTGTCAACGGTTTGCTTATGTACCCCAGTGAAAATAAGCTAATCAAAATGATGTCAAAATGTCATCAAATTGATAAGGATAATGATGTCAAGAAGAGAGATCAAAATGATGGCAAAAGGATGGCAATTCGACTGCAAAACGTCCCATACCTTGATGATGATCCTGATTGTCAGTTTGTTGTCTGTTTGATGTCGTCATGAGGCTCTCACTACGCTGCTTAACTCTGCCAAGAATAATTAAAAGTATACAAACAAAGCTAACATCAGTAACTCTCCAATCAAAATACATGTAATGAAAAACGATAATAATATATTTTAGGTAACAGAATTATGCGACTCATTAACTTTTCTTCCATTAGCAGTTTGGAACCAAAGGCAATCCATCTATGCTGATATCCAATCGTATTCGTCCATGAGTATTTAAATATTCTTGAGTCAAAAGAGAATTCAGATTTCTTTTTATTCCCTTGTACCACACATGCCCATTATCAATCTCAGACACTGCTGTGGTTTTAGGTGTATTCAGCAAAGTTACATATGTCTTAGGGAGCTCTGGATGCACTTTGCGTAAAAGACTCAACAAACTGTTCACTTTTCTTTTTGAGATACCATGAGAAGCCCATTCTGTCAGGGCCATACGTAAGTAGACACCTTCATCAAACTCATCTGTTTTACTATCAGTTATATTCTCCATAGAATCCCGTGTATTTTCTATTGACCAATCTGTATTATTGTCATCACCTGAAATATCCTCAGATTGACTGTCATTTTTCATCTGCTCTTGTTCAAATTGTTCTTGTCTCTGCATATCAACATCCGCATCTGATTCTTCCAAACTTAGAACCTCTTCTTCATATACACTTGAATGATGAGATGCGTCAGATGATTCACTTGATCTTTTATATTGTGTTTCATGCAATTGCAATCTCAATCTACCCATACAGCACACAAAGATTGCATACATATTGTAGCAATCTTTCACCGCAAAGAAGCACCCTGTACATGAGTAACCATAAATAATCAAATGACAATCTTACCTGCAGGGTCGACTCATTTGCCTTGAATGAATAAATAAAAGGTTACAAGAATAACAAAACACTCAATTGCATTAGATTACAAAACATCTATATACTTTATAATTATTTTGCGTTAGAAAACAAACTTCAAACAAAAAAGTTGAAAAAAGTACATGGTAAGAACATAGGAAATAGGAACTATCACCGTTTACTAAGAAAACCTCGTGTCTTACATAATAAATAACATACAATGTAGTTACAGGAGAGAGAAACTTAAGAACATAGTTAAACATGACAATTTTGTTTTCATTCCAAACCCCAATCCTTTCGTGAAAGCGAACTGAGAAACAGCAGTTTGTTCAAGTGCTCACCAGATAATCTACTTCGATTGTCGGTTTTGATGTCACCAGCCTGAGAAAACAGCCGTTTGGATGGCACCGACGTTCCAATAATACTGACATACTTTATTGCCAACTCGTACAATGATGGAAACGTGAGTTTCATCGATGACCAATACTTGATAGGGTTTTCATGCCGCGGGATGACTAGTTGACTCAAATATTGTTTTATTTCAAAACTGACGTCTTCGCTATGAGCACTGTAGTCAGCTTTGGTCGCAACCAAGCGGTCATGAAAGCTCCAAAGACCGTTCTGTTCCATCGGTTCATCGGATTCTTTTTGAATCGTTTTTTGTACGGTATGCTTTTTAATGTGTAATCATTAATTCGCGATATTGCAGAAGAAGCAGCCAGAGCGCTCTTAAAGTGGAGTTTCTTGAATCTCGGATCCAACACGTTTGAAACAGCTAATATTTTGTGCAACTCAAAGTCTTTAAATTGCTGATGAATTGTTGCTTCAAGTCTTTCTTTAAACTCGTTTCCACACTTTGTTAAAGGCTTGCATTCTCGAACAGCCACTTTCAGGCAGTGAACTAATGGGATGATAACGCTACATGTTGGATAGGAGTCTCCACTGACTTCAGTGATGACACACTCGACTGGTTTCATGAGGAATACGATGTCGTTCAGCATTTGCATTTCTTCGCGTTTTAACATATCTGGTGCAGTCGGACACTTCGACATAACAGGATAAACGTATTCCTCGAGAGCAAAAAATCTTTCCAGCATGTAGAGCATCGAGTTCCAACGTGTAGGAACATCTTGAATAAATTTCAATGCAGTTCCTTCTGTTTTTCCGTCTCGCATTTGCAGCTTCTTTAATTCATCGCAAGCCGCGACGCTTCTTCTTGTAACTGTAACGATAGCTTTCACTTTTGCAATCGTATCTCGCACAGTAGGCATAGCTACTAGCACGTCTGGTACAAGATGAGAAAGAATGTGCGCAAAGCAGGCCAAATGTTTGTCCTGTCCCATAAAATCGCGTACAGCTTTCTTGATGTTTGCCGCACTATCCGTAACGACTGCCATAATCCTCGATTGGTCCAACTTGAAGTCCTCGGTGACTGAATTTAAGCACTCTCCGAGATACTGTGATGTGTGGCTTTCATTCATCGGAAAAACTCCAATACAGCCACTCTTCATTTTCATTTGTTCAGTTACATAGTGGATGGTGACGCCGAGATAACTTTGATTGCTGACATCTGTCCAATTGTCGTACGTTATGGAATAAGAGACAGCTTCCTTCAGGGTGGCTATAAAACGCTCTTTCAACACTTCATATCGGACGTCTATCAATCTTGTCACAGTTTTTCTGCTGGGTACAGTGTAGAGAGGTGCGACTGTTTTCATGAGCAATTTGAAACCCTCGTTTTGCACTGTAGATAATGGCATTTTATCGACTGAGATCATGTACAAAATGGCATTTGTAAATTTGTCAGAAGTCTTGCCTCCTTCTAAAAATAAAACCAAGTCTTTTGTCAAACGATCAAAAATTAAATTAAAAGATTTCTTTTACTGCATAGATACCTGAAAACGAGTTCGTACGTTCGAATGCTTCGTCAATTCTAGTCAACTTTTCCTGTGATCAAAAGTATTTGTTATTTGTCTTATGAAATTTATGTATCAGTTATTTTTAGATTTGCTATAATTATTTATTTACTTGTTATTTATATACTTTTTTGTAGTTTATATACTTGTTATTTATATATTTTTTACCTGTGGTTTGACTTTTACTCGTTTCGGCTGTGGAGGATCATCAATAGATTCGTCGCTAGATCCGGAAGTCACCCTAGCTTTTCGCTTCTGTCCAATCGTTTGTGAGCAAAACAACATGTGGCTTGTGCTAAGGTGCTGTAGCAAGTTTGTTGTGTTCCCGCCATGTTTGTACACTTTATTGCAAATGTTACAGCGGGCTGTAACATTACTTTCTTTTTCAAAATATTGCCACGCTGCACTCGATTGCTTTGACCTTTTAAATATGAAATAATAATTAAGACAATCTTTTAGAATGACCCTTAAAAAAAGTAAATTTGCAAGAAATACCGAAGATAAAACTTACTCAGATTTACTCTTTGTTATGCCCGAACTTTTTGGTGGGGCTTCAGTCGGCATTATATGATCTTCGGCTACTACTTGTAGATCTCGAGCATCGTCTTTTGTAATCATCGGAATTCAAACAAAATTATAAGTGGTGGAAGTTATATGACACACTTAATCGAAAAATATAAATTTTATAATTAGTAATTATCGTTTCCGGTATCCATCGTTAATGCACAATGTTAGTAAACACAAACACTTAAACGAACGTGTATAATTGGTCAGAGCAAATAATCGAATACACAAACTATCAAACGATAACTCGAGAAACGGAAGCAGCTAAGCAATAAGAGCTTTAACGCTGGAGACCGACAAGTACCGTACGTACTGTAATGCCCGTATCAGACTACGCATTGAAGATTGAGATTGAAGATTGAAGATTAAAATTTGACCAATCAGGACAAAGAAGTTTTAGTCCCTTTTGTTCTGATTAGTCAAATTCCAATCTTTAATCTTCAATCTTCAATTTTCAATGCGTAGTCTGATACGGACTAAACGCTACGCATCTTCATGCAAACCTGCTTTGATTGGAATTTTTCATCATTTTCTTCCCGGCACCATCCGGCATCCGGCAATCCGGCATCCGGCCGCCAGTCGGATCTCTTCCCCCAGTCCCCCAATTCCCGTTTGATTAGATGTGATAGTGATAGTTTGATAGTGTGATTAGGTACTGCCGGACAGTTGATTGTAACACAGCGTGAATCTCAAGTCAGATTAGGATTCACGATATCTAAAAGATATCCATGAAATAAAAGAGGAAAAACTGTGTGCTCGTGTGTGAATTTGATTAGAGAAAGTTAGTTGAAATTTTATCTAAATACAATATTATTCCTTTCGTGATGTCATATTATCGTGAATAGTGAACAACGCACAAACAAGTTTTTCGTAAACTGATGTTATCTCTCATTTTAGATCCTTTCTTTCTTGGATTAATTTGCGGCCTGTAGAATGGAAACGGTTACTAGCAACGAAACGGTTATCGCTTCTGAGGTTAGTATATTTATCCTTTCTCACACGTAGAACTCTTAAAAAATGCGATGCTAATATAGTTAAAATTATCTCTTTCCGTTTAACCGATAAAAAAAAAGTTATTTAATATGTACATATATATTCTCTCTTTCTCTCTCTTAAGTAGACCTTGGTAAAAGGTAAATATGATTTGAAAGTCATTTCATGTTTAACCTTATTTGTGAGAGAAAGTTTTTATGAATATTTATGAAAGGTGAAATATCAAAGTTTAAATTACATATATAATCTTGAAAATAAAAATTAAGTTTTACTAGAATCGTTTATACATAAAAATTCAATTGTTTTGTTATTGTTGTTTAGTCAATTATAAATGTTTATTTAACAATTTATATAATTTATGTATTAATGTAGAAACTTATTTTTTATGTCATCATCTTACATACATACACACACACATACCCAAGAATATATTTATACTTCTACATATATAAGAGAAAACTCTATTTTATATTTATTGATTATTAATCT